CCTTCCAGCCTCTTTCCCCTCCGCTGCAGCGGTCTAAGATCCTGTAAATCATTACACCTATACACAGTGTATAGACGTGAGGATGCGGAGGAAGATTCAAATTCTGCAATGTAGGAGACAGGCTGGAGGGAGCACTATGACAGCACTCTCTCTTTAAACATGTGTTAATGTACACATGAATGCCAAAAGTGAAGATTTGCTATGTTATAGGTGTCAATTGTGTCTAAGCAGTACCTTGAAAAAATGATGTTTTGTCCGAAATTCCTCCTGAGAAATAGCAGTGCACTTCTGGGTATGTGAGTGTGCCTAGGCTCTCCTGTGCCCCTAGTCTCATAGCTGTATATCTGTTGTGTGAGATCTAAGGCAATGCTGCTCTCTGACTGCTAGTCTTGCCAGATGGTCACTAGAGCCGCACTGTAGAACAAAGCATAGTAGGTCAACACTGGGAAAACATCAGCTGCAGGGAGACTATACAGGCAATACAGGTGACTAGTCCTCAGTCACCTGCCTGCCATTGTTTGGGCACAGCTTGCAGAGTTCAGGTCCTCTTTAATACAAGTTTTATGTACATTTTGGATGTATTTTATACTATCGGCAAAAAGACACTTTGAGCTTACTTTTGACTAACAGAATGTAGCTCACATTTCCAAAAACACAGCATGTAGAACTTTCTTCCACCTTACTTCAATGCATACCATTGATGGGTACATGGATTTCTACAATTAAATGCTTCTGCTTAAATCAGAAAAGACACAGAAATGCAAGAATATGCCCTTCGTGTCCTTACAGGATTGGTTTGTATGATGCGGTAGCCTGTTTTAGCAAAACTATGGTTAAAGCACATCCTGTCTGCAATTCAAACACACAAACTCAATAGGACCTGCTGCGTCTAAAGAAATACGAAGCAGATCAGACACAAAACTATCATTATTACCATCACACTTCACCACTGAGGTTAATGGAAATCTGCTGACCCATGTTTGAAACAAACATAAAATGCATACAACAACAATAACTATCTGCATAAGCCATAAGGGGCTTGTCTGCAGCAAATATCACACTTTTAAGCCTTATCACTGACATCTTTGCACATTTAACATGCACAGTTAGGCATATTTCCAGGGTCTCTGAACTTTATCAGTTTTAGCTGATTCATAAATTGAGTTTTTCTTTTACTTCACTGGGGAGTGGCATGCAGGGAAAGTACAGGGGAGATAAGAATACATTATAAAAAAAACAAGCAGGAAGTTATGAGTAAAGTCACACCCCTTTAAAATAATAATTACATTTTTTAAAGAACATCTTTTCATTTTATCTGTAAAAAATAAGTCAAGGCAACTGGACTTGCTGTATTTTTCTTGAAGACGTTTCACTGGTCATCTAACCAGCTTACTCAATTCAAAATTAAGTAAGCTGGTTGGATGACCAGTGAAACATCTTCAAGAAAAATACAGCAAGTCCAGTTGCCTTGACTTATTTTTTACAGATATACCATGACCTGGATGAATGAGAACCTTCACAGACATCTTTCCATTTTCCTTACATCATTGGATCTCTGTGCTTTTCTATGCAATGCAGGCAGACCATGGCTGGTGAGTTGGCAGGGTGCTGTACATAGCTTCCTAAAAACATTACATCCCCCGCATCAGTACTCCTCTCAAGGGCCATATGCCATGATGCAACCAGTGAGCTGGCTCTTGGGAGGAGTTGTGCCAATATCAAAATGCCTTGGCCAGTGGCTGTCAGTCCAGACAAGTGGGCATTCCTAAGCGGACTGCATACAAATGTGGTAATGCCTACATGTGGTGCTGAATATTTGAAAGAACTGAAATCCATAAAATAAGAGGGGCAAGCCAGGGTCAGTTAGGCTGGAGAGGAAAGAGAGATGATGCTGGACATCCTGCAGCCAGAAAATAAGATGCTCTACCTGACTTGCTGCAGATTTGAATGCACATCCAGAGAAGCTCACAGTGTGCAGTGAAATCAGAGTGAGCAATTTCAGTACAGAAGAGGAGCCGCTACAACTGTGCAACACTAAATGGTAGGCCGGAGTTTAAAAATCTGTGTTTAGGAAATAGGCTTGGAACAGGAGGGGAAGACGAGGGATAAAAAATAATGTGAAAGTGATTAAAAGAATCTATGTGTAAAATTCCTGTCCAGATATTCCTAAAATAACCAATAAACACATTTCCCTGACAGCTGAAATAGCTGAAATCATGTTTGGCCTGCTGGACTGGAAAGGGAATGGAAGGTTCCAATTTTATTACAACAAGGTCACTGTCAGACAGGTGAAAACTGGGGTGAGGTGGGGGCAGTACTATGTGCTGACCTGCCAGGAGGTTTCCAGTATATGAACCTAGTGCTAAACAGATCATAGGTTTTTATTGTTATACAACCTACAAATAAAACTGGGTGAGATCAATTGTAGAAAAAGCAATGCTTTGTTTCTGCTGTTTCACTTTTGTACCTGTTCACAAAGTCACTACCTGGCAGTTAAAGAACATGTCTCAGTCTCATCTTGTATTATTTTTCACAGCTCAGTCACCTAACTCCCACGGTGTATGTTGATTTTTTTATCCCATGCTTCTGTGTGAAATCAACAGGGTAAAGCATGCCCTCCCCAATTCCTGACCACCATCTTCAAGGGAGATGGTCTTTTATTATTGTATTTTTTTTTTACTGTCGGGGACTCTGGGGAAATATCAGGGGTCTAACCAGACCCCTGATATTTCCCTTTTAAAATAGAAAAAGAAATTGAGGACACAGAGTCCTCAATCACTTTTTTGCAGCCCGTTATGAATGAACAGGAAACCTCTATACTGAGTGTTCCTGTCCAGTCATAAACTGTGGAGATAGTAACTCATACTATGTCCACAATCATAAATGAACAGAATGTGATGTAGAGCACTTCCTGTTCATTCGTAATTGGGGACACAGTAAACATACTATGTCCTAAATTATTTACAAACACTCAGCGATCTGATCATTGAGTGTTTGTATACCGCTTCCCATCCTGACTACTTCGGCTGCCACAGAAGGCTGAACTGGCGATGCAGGGAGGAGAGCTCAGCCTCCTGTGACACGGCTGACAGCTGACTCCTCCCCCACACTTCTCTCCATCCCGAGTCTCTGCCTGTCACAGGAAGCTGTGCAGGGCGGTACAGGGCGAGAACTCAGCCTCTCTCCTCCCTGCACAGTTTGGCCTCCTGACAGTTTCTCTCCTCCCAGCTGGACGCTGCTCTGTGTCAGACAAGACACAGAGCAGCGCCCAGCGGAGAGGAGAGAAACTAGAGATGCAAAGCAATTTCGGACACAAAATTGTACTTTCAGCATTTTTCCCAAAGTGCCATTTGTTGGAAATACAACAGCATACACTGATTTGTTTTACTGACATTCAGAGATGTAATATTATTCTTTGAGCTCTAGATGGCAGTATACTGCAGTGTTAGGCTATAATGCTTACTCATCTATGATATACAGGAAGTTCTATATGTATCCTCATATAATGTTCTTCTAAGCAAGTAAAACTTAATTCAGCACTCCTCAAGATCTCAGTTCTTCATCTAAGCACATAACCAACACCATTTTCGACCGATATGTTTTGGTGGCCGAAATTTTGGTGCATCCCTAAATATTTATATAGACTTTTCTCAAAAGCTTAAAGAGGAAGTCTCACCTTTTTCACAGCTCAGTTACCTAACTCCAGCAGTGTATGTTGCTTTTATTCCATACTTCTGTGTGGAGTAGAAGCTGAGATACAGACTTTGACATCACACTCTGCAAAAGGAGACAGTGTCTTGATTGACAGCTCTTACCTCACTGCCTCTGCACTTTCCCAACACAAAACAAGGCTCTCCTTACAAGGTGAGAATTTTTCTTTACTATACAGTTAAATATAATGTGAAGATGAAACAGAGCTATGACCCTAGTGCAACACTAAACTTGTGATATCTTGTAGAATAAAACAAAAATAAGGGTCTTGACATAACCATAGGATTTGTTATTTATACCGACCTTTTGGTGCCTCACAGCCCACCTTTCTCATAGCTTAACTATAAGTCCCCATTCACACAACACAAGAAATCCCATTAATTTCAATGGCTCCTGTTTACACCTGAACATTTTGTCGCCGGCTGTAAAACACTGAATGCTGATTACAACAGAGTACAGCGCGTCTGGCCCCATAGACTTCAATAGAAACACCTGGAAACATGTGACACAAGTGTTTTGCACAGTTCTGTGTGTGTATTTGCACGTTTGTCCATTGTTTGTCCATCTGCCCGACCAATTGCGCACAAAAATGTGCAAAACGTGCAAAAACGCGTTAAACATGCGTGAAAATGCTGAAGCCTAGGTGTGAACGGAGCATTAAGGATCTACAGAAATTGTGTGTATGCACACAATTTCCGTGTGTGTATTTGCACGTTTGTCCATTGACCGCAATGTCTTTCAATCTGCCCGACCAATTGCGCACAAAAATGTGCAAAACGCGCAAAAACATGCGTGAAAATGATGAAGCCTAGGTGTGAACGGAGCCATAAGGATCTACAGTAATTGTGTGTGTACACAGAGAGGTTTAAAATAGAACATTACAGGTTTAAAACACGTGTTGTGTATGTATTATCAATAATTGAAAAAATAGTGGGGGGAATTTACTAAAACTGGGACAGAATCTGGAGCAGTTGCCCTTAGTAACCAATCAGCTTCTCTTTTCAGTTTAAGTTAAGCTTTGAAAATGAAATCTAGAAGCTAATTGGTTGCCATGCACAGCAGCTCCAGATTTTGCGTGTTCCAGTTTTAGTAAATTCCCCTCAATGTATCTTCTGAACTTTATCATAAAATGAAATTGTTTTGCTTATTTGTGTACTTACAGTTCAATAACATATCAGCTTTTTCTAATAACGATGGTAAGCAAAGCATGCTAACATATCTACTTTTGATACGTTCCAAGACAAACGCATGACAATAAATAAATATTTCATAAAACATTACACACTTACTTAAGTGTAATTAGGTCCAGTAACCAGTGAATTCTGACTTGCTTGATGCCACCATTAGGGACTGAAGATATATATGCCAGGTTCAGTCTTTGGTCTTTCCCCAAAAAATATGCTTCTGATGAGTTATGTGGTAAAGGAGGACTGGAGAAAAAACACAATTGCATGTCTTTAGGTATCAACCCTAACAATGTACTTCTATTATTTGCTTAATTCTGAAGTGTTAGCATTGACAAAAGCCAAATATTTTTTTCCATTTTGGACAGAGTAAAGGAGGGTTATAATTGGGGATGCACCGATACCGATAGTATCGGTGCCGATGCCCAGTATTTGGGCGAGTACTCGTACGTGCCCAACCATTGTGATACTTACCCTCGATACCAAAACTTCTGGTCAGAGGAAAATTTCCTCTGACTGGCAGTGCTACGAGGGAGCCTACCAAACAGCATGAAGCCGGCTTCCTGCCCAATCAGGAAGCCGGGCCACTGTAAATGACCTGCCTTCCGGAATCCTGATTGGCTAGGAAGCTGGATCCATGATGATTGGCTGGGAAGCTGGCTTCTCAGCCAATCAGCATGAAGCCGGCCAAACAGCATGGAGCCAGCTTTCCGGGCAATCAAAAAGCAGGGCAGCGGGTAATGACACACCGCCTGGCTTCCTGATTGCCGGTAAGCTGGCTCCATGCTACCGGAAGAACCGGTATCAGTACTCGGTGTCGGCGAGTACCAAAATATAAATATCGGAACTCATACTCCATAATGAAAAAATGGTATTGGTGCATCCCTAGTTATGATCTGTCAATGTTTGCCATAATTGACCCATTGGGGGAGATTTCTATTTACTTCCTGTCCTATAGCTACAACAGGAAGTAAGAGGGAATCCTTCCAATGTGATGATTATCCCTGGCTGTCATCCCAGGCACCAAAACTATTGACCACATCTCCTTTTTATTCCTGTTTTGAAGACAACTCAAAATTTGGGATTTTATTTCACCCTCCGAAATCTTCCAATGGGGAAACCTGTTCTGGTGATAACTGTATAACCTGTGGATACTCCCTCACTTTAGAGAAATCTGCCCTTCCTTCATTGCTGCTGTGTTTCTGGGATAGGAAGTAAAGGGAAATCTCCCCTATGGGACAGACACAGAAAATAAAAAACTATAATAGGGGTCTTAACTATTTTCTACTGTATCTAAAAAATAAAGATACACTTTACTGGAGACAGGTACCACTTACCAAAAATGTCTTACTTTTACGGAGACAGTTATCATTTATTAAATATTTGTCACTTTACGGGAGACAGATACCTAATATTTCTCTCTGGGTTTCCTAGAGGTAGCATTGCATGGCACGTCTGTAGCTTTGTGTGCTTGCTTCAGAGATATTATGCACTATACAGGTTTATACAACAATCCACCTCCCTGGTTCTAGACTTCTAAGGTGCATTAAATAAGTATCACCCTCTATGGAATAATAACACCAAACAGACTTGAAAAATTACATAAAGGGGAGTATTTTGCTTCATTTGAAAATATTTACAAACAATTAAAGGAGAAGCAGGGGGAGAGTAAAACAAACTTTCTCCACTGCTTAGAGCTCGTGTGCAGATGTCCCACGCTGGATCTATACCCACTGATTGCTCAGCTCACAGTCTCTTTTCCTTCCCCTCCCATCTCTGTTTCTCTAACGCCCATTGGATGGACAGACAGGGGAGGGGGCGGGCACAGCTGGCTCTGGTTTTTGAGAGGCAGAGCCAACTGTCAATCAGACAGTATTTACTGTATCCTTGAGCTCTCAGCATGAGTAAGCTTAATCAGCATTGGTAAATGTACTCCTGTAACCCAAAAGTAAAGTAAAGCCCCCAAAAATGTGGCTTTATTTCTCTTTTAATAATCCTTGATGTGCTGGTCTTCTTAAATTAGGAGAACTGGAGAATGTATCTGTTACCTAAAGTAGGAAAACAAAAGCTGCTTTACAACATTCCAGCGTTGTTTATATCTTTTTGTGTCAGCAATACTCTACAATGAATGAGGAAATGTGCAATGGTCAAAGCAGAAGACTCACATGCTAAACAAAACACAGGGTAAAACATGACAAAAATTAAAAAATGGTCCAGCCTCTACAAACTGTGTGCCAGTAAAGCTTCATAATTCTACTTTCTGGTCTACAAAATAACTTTATTATAGGAATTAGGGATGTCCCGATACCACTTTTTCAAGACCAAGTACAAGTACTGTCCCTCGTGTACTTGCCAATACCAATTACCGATACTTTTTCTTAAAGGGGCAGGTGACATTTTTAATTAAAGCAATACAGACTAATGATTTTAGGGCAATTTATTTATGATTATGAAGAACTTTCATTTAAAAGATTGTGCAATGTGATTGGTGTGGTCCTTGTATGCATGGAGTGGTGACAGGTCCTCTTCAATGTAAAGTAAAACAAATGTACTCGGAGCACTATGCATGTGCGGTGGTCACTACATGTGGAGCATGTTCACATATTTCCCATATCCAATCATCTCAGTCATTGCATCATATCAGCAATACAACTTCCCCCAATTAAAACTTCAAGTTTAATTGGGGGAAATGGGACAGATTGGAAGAAGCAGGGGAGACTTGTAACTCTGTGCTATGGATCATTTAACCCATTCATGTTATCAGGGCAGAATTGTAACTCTGATACTGCAGTGTACTGGAAGTGTGTGCTGTATGTACTATGGATCATTTATTCTAGTATACACTTCCAGTACACTGCAGTATCAGAGTTACAATTCTTGATAACATGAATGTGTTAAATGATCCATAGTACATTTAACCTATGCATGTTAGCAGGGGAGAATTGTAAATCTATTGCTGCAGTGTACTGGAAGTGTGTACTGTATATGTAGTATATACAGTACACACTTCCAGTATACTGCAGCAATAGATTTACAATTTTGCCCTACTTCTTCAAATCTGTCCCACTTCCCCCAATTAAGCCGGCTAGTGACCCTGCCTGAGCACAGGCCCTGTCCCTTCTGCCATCCGCAGCCAGCCCTGTCACAGCTGCCCTTACTCACATGGCCCGACTGTCCAATCCCGGGAGTCTTGCGCGTCCCTCTGGTAGTCGGCGCTGGGCGGGAGCTCGTCAGCGTAGCTGTGACTTGTGGCTCTGGTGGGAGGTGCTCCAGGTGGGGTCCTCATTTAGCTGCCCTGCAGACTGCCCAGAGGACCGCAACACGCGCAGTACCTCTGGGCAGCCTGAAGCTACCTAAAAAAAA